GTAAGGATCGAATCCAAAAATTTGTAGTTATAACTTATATCCCGCAATTTAATTAACAAAATTGACTTTACAGGATAATTTATTTTCATTTTAATTATAAATTATTGAGAAAATAGTTTATTGAGTATATTGTCTATAATATTTTTCTTTCTACGGTCTTACTTTTTAATAAAAATAATTAATTAATTTAATAAGTTTAATAAAAAAGTTTTGATATATCATAAATTTTTAACATATTATAAAATAATTATCATAATAAATTGTTAATTTTTTTACTCACACATTAATGAATGAACATATTTACTTATATAAATAATAAGTTAATATTATGGTAATATAAATATCATATCAAAAAAGGTTATAAAAAATTAGCATTTAATATATCTGAAAATAAGTCTTTATTTTTTATGATTAGGACAAAAAAATATTATAATTATTCGTTTATAAATAATAACAGAAAAATATTAATTTAATTATAATTTTGATTTTTTTTAATTGTTTGGTACTTGTTTGATTTTGATTCCTAAATATCATATTGTGTGATTTTAACTTCTTTTTTTTTTTTTTTTACTTTTGAATAATTTTAACTTGTTATTTAATTTTTAAAAAAATTATGAATTGGTTATTAATTATGTTGACATATCTATTGAAAACCCAGGAGACATCCCTCGCTAATCCTTACCAAATTAATGTTTTACAGATAGGCGACTCTATGTGATCCTCCTTCTTCAATCCCATATAAAATGTTGTTAGGTTTACTATTCTTTAATCATATTAAATATAGAGAGATCATATAATTAAAGAAAATGTGAATTTTAATTTTTAACACTAAATGCACTTAAAAAGCATCATTTTTTTAATTAAAAAAGTATTTATTACACTTTTATAATTTATATATATATAAAATAAAAACATACTACTTTTAAGTTTTTAAACGCAATTATATGAGTTAAATAAACAAAACTCTATAATTAGTCGTTAACTCGTCATTCTATAAAATTTGGATCGGAAGTTAATGAATGTAAAATAGAATAGTTGAGAAACTAAGAGTATATTTGATTTTTTTTAAAATAATTTTATTTTTTATTTTTAAATCAAACATAGTCTAAAATTACACCTTTAAAAGTTGAGAGAACACAATTTAACAAGTATATAATCAGGCGTTTACAACTTTTTGAACTTGTCTTCCTCCAATTCATAATCATCACCACAATGATTTAGACTAACTAAATATATTCTTTATTGTGAACACACTTAACGAGAGTTATTGTTTGATATCAAATCTTAAAGTGTGAAGTAGCTAGAAGAGAAAAATAAATAAAAAGGAAAAATATAATTAATAAAATAATTAAAAAATATAAAATTATGAAAAACAAAGATGGACTTCAGTCATGAACCAAGACGGTGTAACCTAGAAATTATCACGTGCGTCATATGCGTATGGAACAGATATATTCCACTCAATGTTTTTAAAATATTATTTATTTAAAATTTCAACTATCATGATTATTATGTATGTATAATGAAAATTTAATAAAGTGGTTGGCTCTACATGGTACGAAAACTTCCTCACCAAATTTATATGGAAGAATTTTCTTATATTTTAGAATAATAATAATAAAGCAGATTTGACGAAAATCTGGGGGTAATGTTATTATGTACAGTATTAGTCAAACAGAAATTCTAGCTTTTTGACAATTTGCTATATAGAACAAAGAAAAAAAAATGATTCATAGATATTCAAAAAGTGTATACACCTAAAAAGATAGAAAGAAAAAGAGAAAAAAAATTAATACATATAATGACAAATAAAATAAATATTGATACTTTTAAAATATTTATAAATTAAAAGAAGAATTTTATGGTTGAATTATGATTTATAAATTAATATAATATAAAAATAAATATTTTTATATTATATTAAATTAATTATATGATTGACTTTTGTGGCAACCAGGGTCACGACTGAAGAGTGATCGTGTAAAGAAAAAAAATTATAAAAAATATGTTGAAATCAGTTTTTTCTTAAAAAAAAAAGTTAATAATAGGGGCATCACCAAAATTTATTAAAGAAAATATTAAAAAAATTTAAAAAAATCTTTGAAACTATATTTAAATTTGAAAATTATTTACGTGTAAAGAATGTATTAACATGACATTTGTTAATTAAAATAGTTATCTTTTAATTAATTATGCAAAAATTATTTTAACTTTAAAAATATTTATTTCACTCTAAAGAAAAATAATTAATATTTTTAAATATTTTTAAATTTATTTTTATTATTACTGTTTAAATTTATTTCAAATTTTTACAATATTTTAGATAATTTAATTTAATTTTTTAAAATAATAAAATACAATAAAAAATTTATTTGAATTAAAAGAATGAATTATTTATAAAAATATTATTCTTTTTTCATTTTTGTATCAAAGAAATATATTTTAAAAAGAGAACTTATCTTTGCACTTTATTTTTTATTTTTTATAAAATAAAATAATTTTTTTTATTTTTATAAAAAAAATATACTTGAAATTATTTCTTAGTTTAAAAGAATTTTTAAAATATTTTGAACCTGAAAAAAATTTAAAAAAAAATTGGACTTGCCTACTCCTACATATCTTTTGTATGCAACGAAAGAATAAAAAATGTCATATAGTTCTTTTTTAAAAATTGTGTTTTGGATAAGTTTCAAAGATTTTCTCTTTTAAAAAAATAATTTTTTTAAAGTAAATCCACTTATGTATAGAATTCAAGTTAGCACACAATTACTCAATAAACCCTTACAATACAAGTAACATTGAAGGTGAATTATCTACTCCATCAAAATTGCTTTGTTATTATGTGGATTCAAAAGACTCCTTTTTTTTTAGATAATGAAAAATTGATGTATTTGTTAATATGAGATTTTTGCACACAAAAAAGGAACAAATGAGAGGCAAATTAAATAAATAAATAAATACAAGATCAAATAAAAATGATAAGAAAATATAAATACAAGAGCAAATAAAAATGATGAGGAAATAACTTTTATTTGATTTAAGAATTAATTTTTTTTAGGTTAGAATTTGCACAAAAATTAGGTTTTTTAGAATTTATGAAAAAATAATTTTTAAGATTTGAAAAAATAAAATTTTATAATTTACAAAATTGTTAGGGTTAAAAAAAAATTGTTTGTTTTAGAGCTTGCAAAAAAATCGAATAATTTTGGGGTTAGAAAAATAAATATTATTTTTAGGATTTGCAAAAAAATATTAAAGTTAGAAAAAATTAGTTTTTTTTAGTGTTTGCAAAAAAGGGAATACTTTGGGTTAGAAAAAAAGAAATTTCATGGATTTGGATTTTAATTTTTAGGGTTTGATTGAGGGAGAAGAAATTTAGGGTTAGAAAAATAATTAGAATTTATAGAATTTTTTTATAAAAGAAAATTTTATTAAATTTTCTCTTTTTATTTATTTATTTATATATTTATTTATTACACTTACAAAAAGTGTTAAATCATGATGGAGAAGAGAAGAACGTATAAAATAAATAAACAAAAAAGAATAATTCTTACAAGATAAAGGAAATGATAAGAAACAAATTAAGGAATAAAAAAATAATACTTACTTGATGAAAATTTTTCTTTTTTTTAAACCGTTGGATCTCTCTTTTAATTTATTTTTTGTAATCGACCTCAAGATATGTTTTAGAATTTTTAACTCTGTCAGGTAACTTTTTCTTATTCTCTCTTCTCCTTTTGCTCTGTGTGTTTCAAACTTTCTTTAGAACTATTTCTTAAAAAGGTTTCAATTTTTTCATTCTCTCTCTTTTTTTTCTCGCAAAGAAGTCTCAATTCTTTCTTTTTTATTTCTATATTCAAAAGTCGTCACCTATCTGAGAATTAAAATTTTTTATTTATAGGTATTTTTTGAAATCTTAAATTCTATGTAATATACAATTATTTATTTATTTTTATTTTAATAAAAGTTTCAATATCCATTGTTCTTATTCTTTGATGACTAGTAATCAAATTTTTTTTCATCCACTCTTTTAAAAATCTATAAACTACTTTAATTATTTTATCTGATTTTAAATTTAAAAATTAAAAAAATAAATTTAAATTTTAAATTAAATCAAATCATTATATTTAATTTTTAAATTTTAAATTTATTTTTGAAAGAGACCCGATAAAATTAGGTATTTACAAATTTTAAAAATTAATTAAACTTAAATGAAATAATTTCTAGATCAAAGCTAAACTTAATAATTAAAATTATCATTTTATTAAATTTAATAATAAAAGTTATATTTAAAATTACTAAATATAGAAACTGATAAAATAGATTAACGATAGTTTCGTCCACCATCCAATATGTGGATAGCGTACCATAGATTACACCCAGACAACCCTTACCTCTTCGTCCACCATCCAATTGTTTAAGCATGCAAACGTCCGGATTTCGTAGGGCTTCTTAACTGTAGTAGAGATTGTCTCGCGTAACGTTTGTCTCACGTTCCAACAAAGGTACGATATAGGTAAAAGGAACAGTGCAACAACTTGAAAATATATAAAAAGTGTGTAAATCAAAACTCTTCCAGCAATCAACAGTACCCCACCTGGCTAGCTTCCTGCTACAAAGAACCTATATTAATTTCTTATAATATTTTTTTCTCTATAATTTTGTATTATGTTGCTTATTTCATTTCGCATTTTCCCTCCTCACCCCTTATCTTGTTCTTTGACGTAAAAAAATTATAAAAAATCAATGTTAGAATAGCATACTTAACTTTTTATATTCAAGAAAAATTCATTTTATCCTATGTTCACCAAAAATGGTTATGCTACAATTTACACTACAGTTGTTAATTACAGGGTGTACAATTTCCTTTTACAATTCTAATATTTTTGTTCTCATTTTTTTCATTTTCTTGTTTTTACCACTAATGATCTTCGTCTCTGTCTCTGTCTCTGTTTTTAACCACTAATGGTTTGGGTTAAACCACCACTTTGTGGTTGATTTCAGCGACGGAGGAACCTCTTGGCGGAGGCTCTGAAAGGACACGTGGAGCTGACAAAGCCATCAACGAGGTGCAGATACGTGTTCAGCTCGTGACACGTGGCAACATTAGTACTTCCGAGGTATGGAGAGTCCCTGCTACATAACCGGAGTTCCCTCCCAACCTCAGCGTACACCCATTGTGCCTCCTCAACCCTCTTCTGTATCCAGTTCGGAAAGCCTGCCATGTGGACCGCTCCATCGCTTGCCACGTCATCATCAAACACAAAGCCTGGAACCTTAGTAATAACATCATCGGAGTTCACTATGCGCAAAACCTTAGTCCCTTGCCTCTCTAGCTGCTGCCGGAAATTCCGGTCTCCGACACGGGGGCCGCCAAAAGATATAACCGTCACCGGCAACCTGTGAAAGATAGTTTTAATGTCATACGCCGTGAGCGTTGCCAATGCCGCTCCCAGACTATGGCCGGTGACGGTCAAGCTTAACGGCTCCTCGCCATAGTTTTGGATGATTCTTGAGATCTCTTGTTTCACCATTTCTTGCAAACTCGACCAGTTTGCAAGAAATGAAGTATAAAGACTCAAGAATCCACTTTCTACCATGGGCCCACTTCCGTCCATGGCACAATTTTTTTCAAAGGCTCTTTTGCTGCTGCATGGGATTGGGAGGTTGGTGAGAGTGGCACGAAAATTCTCCAACCATTCCAAGCATGTGGTGGTTCCTCTATATGCAACAACGATGTCGCGCCGACCAAGTCTTTTGATCTCTTCCTTGTTTTCACACACCGCTACATATCCCACGTAGCTTGATTGTGTTGATACCCAGCTTGGTGCTTTGTCCACCCAATTAGGTAGCTGAATCCCTGAAGTTGCACGTAGGTGTTTGGTTACCTTGTAACCTGTGTTAGGTAAACCACACCGTTCGAAAAGTGTGCTTTTGGGGTACCTACAATTGGCGTAGTTGGGAGAGGAAGGGTCAAACTCAAAGGAGTTATAAGCAGCTTCCACGAAATGACCATAGCGTAGAATTTCAGCTCGTAGATTGTCGTCCAATGGGTCTAGTAAACCGTCCCAATTGCTCATCCCTTGGTACTCTTTCCACCTCTTTCCAATTCTCTCGGCTTTTAGATTAAAAGGTATTGTTGATGATGATGGTGGTGATGATTGCATCGATGGAAAATTATTATTGTTATGGATGTGTTCTAAATTTATCATTTTCTCTAAATGTAATGCGGCCTCTCGTGTGTCAGTAGAGAGGTTGGTTTGTTTAGATGGTTGGGTCATGGTTATGCAGCGTGGTTTGAGGATGGTGTGGTTTTGGGTTGAAGGGAGTGTGCTTGGAGGTGGACGTAGTGTTTTTATGGGAAGCCTCATGTTGTGGTGAGGGTTTAAGGAAATGACACGGAAAGAGGAAAGAGAATGAGAAGATAGAATGTCCTAATTCTGTGGAACACATGAGGACGGAAGGGGTTTTTATAAGTGGCAAAAGAGTGCTCTTTGTAGAGGGAAGAGTATAGTCAAGAAAGAAGATAACGAGATGTATATGATGATGTAATGGTATTAATTGTATCCTACATTATTGCTATGTTATTTTTTTTTTCTTACTTTTTGGTTAAGAAATAAAAGATAAAAATATGCATTTAAATATGAAAATTTCTTATTTTATTATTCTAAAATAACAATGGAAGAAAGACGTGTAAAAAGAAATAATGCCTAAATATTGTTGAGAGACTAATAAATACATATATATTGAGCACTTAAGTTCTATGTTAAATTTGTATAATAAGTTTTGTTTCAATATAATGAAAATTATATTAAAGAATATATACTTAAGATAATAAAAATAAAATATACTTTATCTTCACACTTAAAGAGTACTTTATTTTCACACACCAAAAAAACACATTATACTATAACCTTATCATATATTTTTATTATTAAGGCAAACTTGCCAATTCTACTAAGAATTATGATTTTTTTTATATCTCATTTTTACTCACGTTTATTTTTTCGCTTTTTTATTTATTGATTATAATCTATTACATATCTCTTTTCTTTTCCCTTCTTTAGCTATCTTCCTTTTCTTCCCACCTCTTTCAAATAACATATAAGGAAATGTGCAAATATCATTATTCTTCTAAATATAGATACACACTGGTAACGAATACTTCTATATATAATATATGGTGTTGGTATATATATTGGTGGTGCTCTCATGTAAGGAAGGTCAAAATTTTCAGCAACCTATAACTTGCGGTTCTGGATTGTCACCGTCAATGAACGATGCTTAATGTAAGCGCACTAACAAAGAGAAATTTAACGAAACACACCAACAGATACGCGTTATAATTAACGCTACCAATTTACTCAAATTCTCATACGGTCATACCTTGTCGGTGACTATTGTAATATGAGATATTATAATCATGTAATAAATTTATAAAATTTATTTTGCAGCTAAGAGAAATAGAAAGGAGCGGAAAGCATGCGATGAAATAATTGATATCATAGAAAGATAAAATAAATCATAAATATAGTGTGTGTATGATATATCTGGTGATATTTTTAATTTTATTTTCTCTTTTTCCTCATCCTGGAATTTTACGAGCAACAGAAGACTTTGAGAAATTTGTGGGTCCTTTAAAAAAGGCAACTATTAGTATATGTTTGCACTAAACCCAACTGGAGAAAATGTTATTTTAGCCGTAACCATAAGTGGTTCTGCAAAATTCTTATAGAGATAGTTTTCTTATGCATTCATGATCCAATAACAAAGAAAAGGGAATATAAAAATTTATGAAAATAGTTGGTCAATATTTACGGGAATGATTTGATCTTCAAAACAAAATTTATTGCTCACTTGGTATATTACGAAGAAAATGTATAAAGTGATATTGATTACCAGTGGTCCAGTAATGGTAATGGCTGAGATGATGTAAGATTTTAACATTATAAATATTTTAAATAATTTGCTCAATCAAAATCAATAGATCACAAGTGGTCCATAAATAAAGTATTCTAACTTATTTAAGCCATGCATATTATATATGATTTCCAATTCAAGACCCCCTAGGACAGCCCAGCGAAAGAGGTGAGAACAGAGTGTTGAAAAGAAGCAAGGGCTCGAATCACCCATCCCTGGTAAAAAAAGAAAAAGAAAAAGAGAGAGATACTACTATTTTTTTAGTTTTTTTTTAACCTACCTGTTTGCAGCTGTAACACGATATATATATATATATATATATATATATATATATATATAGTGTTTTTAAAAAAAATTATGGATATAGTGGGATTTAAAAATCACCACACTGACGAATAACTGTTATCATCATTGTCCTCATCAATCAACTGTAATTATCACTACTATTATCGTATTCATCACAAACCACCATCAACGGTGACCCATATCATTAACACTTATCACCATTAAAATCTATAATTAAGTAACTTAACTGGATGACTACTTTCATCAACGTAGACTAAAACTGCTAACATCATAATCATTTACAATTACAAGAGAACTATACATATGTCAATCAAATCCCGCAAATTTCACTTCCTCTTGATCGTCAAAATGTGATCGCGATCGGCATCACCGCCATTCCTTAAAAAGAACTTTTGTGAACCCGCAAAAGCTACTATGTGACTCATTACTAACCACTACATCAATATCGTCGCATCACATGTAAGGATATGACTTTCGACTTATATTGTTTAGTCTCCACCACCTACATTTTCGCTCGCAATAATTGTAATGGTGAAAATATTACAAGGTTGTTCCAACGAAAGTGTTCGTGTGATGATGACAAGAGATGATAACTTGTGATAGTAGTAGCATTAGTAAAATAACAGCATAAAGAAGAAAAGTGAAAGAAAAGAAAAGGATGAAGTGGAAGAGGAAATACCCGTAGCAATAGAAGGAGAAGACATAAACAATGATAGGTGAATGGTATTTAGCAAAGAGAGTGAAAAAAAAGTTTAAAATTTTGAAATTTTTTTAATAGAAAATAATATATTAAAACATGTTTAAATATTAAAATTTCAAAAACATATTAAAAAATCAAATAAAAAAAATTAACGTGAGGTAATTGATCTATAGGTATGTGCTATCTTAATATTTGTTTCCTGTTAGGAATAATTTTTAATGCAATAAGAAAATATATTATAAGAAGCATGCATGTGGATATTCGTGTATCCATAATAAGTTACATGAGCATTAATTAATGTTTTGATCAGCATATTAATGCAAATAATATGAAATGAGGAATAGAAATTTTTTGGTTAAGCATTTTAGCTCTCCAAATTTTCAGCCTATATCTTGTATGTTCAATTTTGTTTACACTTTAGATTTGGACGTGTACTCTTGATGTGCTCCTCTAGTTTTCTTTTCTCTTTCCAAGAAAAAATTAGTAATGGAAACGAAGCGACCACATAGAAACGACTTGGTTTGGCGTTAAAGATTTTGCATATAAATTCAAAAAATTGTTAATATTTGAAATTTTATAAAAAAATATTTTTTAACTTTTTTATTACATCTTTATTTATTATATTGATTATCTCGCTTATTTATTATCATATCAAAAAAATATTAATTATTAATGATAAAACTATAAAACGATTGTCCATTTATTTTATAAAATGACAATAAGAAGTAAATAAAACAAAACTATTAAAGCATCAAAGAAAAAGAAAACAGAGGGAGTAATCAACTTCGTGAATTCTGGTGAAACTTTTTGAGGCAGTGAGCAAAGTTGTCGCTAACAAAGATGCATAATAAACACCAAACCCGATCATAAGAAGATTCCTTTAGCAACAAGCCACTACACACGGCCCACTAAACAATCCATTCACAATAAGTTAGTCAAGTGTGTAATTACCACAAGTTAATTATTTTCAGATATTTGAATTTTTTTTATTTTAAGATAAATATTCTTAAAACACGCCCATATAGAAATAATAAAATAACTATAAGCTATTTTTATTCACATTTAACATAAAAATAATAAAACCTTATACACAACATCAATTTAGGGTTCAAATAATTTTTTTTCTTACAATATTATGTTTATCTCCAAGTTATACGTGAAAACTTCATATGATGATTTCACATTAGCTTGGTAAATTTTCAGAAATTTTATGGCAAAAATATGTTCTTTTAGAATGAAAAAAAAGTTCAATCCTTAAAAGTCATAAATGTCATCTATACCAATCCTTTTCATCAATTAATGTGTTTCATGCTCAAAAACTAAAATAATTAATATTCATGACTCTGAATAATTGGAGGAATCTCACAACAATTAATACGTATGTATGTTGCCAATTTTTTCATTCATAAATTTAGAACTACTCCCACTGCACAAGTAATATTTTTTTTTTGCTTTTATTTTCAATTTTTCAATTTTGTTTATTATGAATTCTTTACTTCGTTATCTTATTTCATTTCAAAATATTTGTTATATTTTAAAATGAAAAAAATTATTCATTTTAAAAAATTATTGTTAATTGATGTTTCTACTAAATGCTTAATTAAAAAAAATCCACATTTTATATTTTTTAATAAATTTTAACTAATAACTAAAAATGTATTAAAAATATATACTAAACAGCATATTTATAATTCATTCAATCATAGTTACACCTAACTCTTTTAATAAAGATACTTTATTCAAAGAATACTATTTTGTCAATGGAGTTAATTGATCCAATATACTTGTCCAAAGCTACTAAACAGTGGTTCAAGCATGTACATGGAATTGATGAACAGTAGAAACAATTTTCCACAAAAAATGGCATGTATATATAATTTTTGTTTTCATTTAACTTTCCTTTATTTTCTTAATTTTTCTCTTCGCCATAAGAAAATAGTCACAATGATTCGTAACTTCGTAGTATACGGCATTCTTAAATACAAGCATGAGACAGCCTCTGTATATCAAGAATTAATCTTACATTCAAAAGGAATAAAATGAAACAACATAAATGAAAACCTCTTTTTTCTTTGTTCAAGTGTGCTTTAGTTTTACATTCAAAGATTAAGATACAAGATACAATAACGTTTGCATTACCATAGAAACCCTTCAACGCTTTCACGTATCACGTAATCTTCTCTTTATTTTGTTACAAAATTAGTAAGTTCTCATGTATTATATTATATGAGTATTACTAAATTAAGATAAAATTTTAATATAAAACTAAAAAAAAATTCATAAGTTTTTAAAATTTTATAAATTTGAAAAATAAATGTTTTAGTTATTAATTATAAATATTTTTATTTTAGTAAATAAGATTAAATTAGAAATTTATAAATACTTTGTAATATAAATTTTTAATAAAACTAAATTAAATACTAAATTCATAAGAAATATGATATA